GAGTGATCCTTATTCCACAAGCTAGATTAACACTTACCAGTGATCCAGCTACCCCTCTCGAGAGAGAGAGAGCGCTCTCCTCCAAACCATTTGTACATTTGACGATGGCATCAAAGCGTGCAGAAGGAAAACGGGCAATCAACTCCTCTTTCTCCAGGTCGAGGAAAAGTGTTATTCACTTCTAGAAAACACAACAGACGGAGTTTAGAGTATCACGCTTGGACAGCCCGTTTGATTGTTCAGAGGCACCAGGCACTCTTTCTGGTCTTGGGTTTCACTCCTTGGAAGATCGTTAATTCCTCACGAGGCAAATGCATGCAAATATGATGGAAATGTTTGTGATGACCGACAAAGACCAGTGGACGGTTGTTTCGTCCTGTTTGGGACTTGTCAGCAGTGCATATTTTTGGGTCCTTGCCTGGACTGGAAAAGCGAACAACTGGGTCGAGACTTCAAACCTTTAACCCTGAGCTACACGATCGACTCTGAAATGATTGAGCCATTCGCACACGGTGATGACCATAGGTCAAGGGTAAGGGTTTGAAGTCCCGACCCGGATGTTCATGATTCGAGTCTAGACAGGGACCCAAATGTATGCACCACTAACGAGTCCCAAAAACGGGACGAAACAGTTGTCCAGTGCTCTTTGTCGGTCATTACAAACAAAACCATTGCAAGAGACGGAGTTGTTCGAACTCAACGGCAATAACTGACAGGCATTCAGTTGATAGGCATTGTTCTTCCAAAGTCAGACTATCATTTATGTTTTCATGAGAGCAAGAAGAAGTATCATGATCACAGGATGTGTTGAATTCAATTATTTCGTGGCAATCTCATCAGCTGTGTACATACATTCGGATCACGTTTGGTGAAAAGAGCGACAGGTTTGGGGACAGGCGAACACACACGGGGAGGAGAAATCAATCAATACGAAGGCCAAAGGTCACTAATCTGAACCGGAATGGACATTGGGATAGGGAGCGGAATCACTGCGGGGGTGGGGGGGGCGAGAGGGAGAGGGAGGAGGACAGTGACATGGTGCTCCATTACATGATGCTTCTGCTTGCTCTCATAAAAATATCAAAGGGAATTGGTTGCATGAAATATCGTTTATGTATTACGTACAGTAAAGATCCGCCGAATACACGTGAAAGAAAAACTCACACTTCGCGGACACCGATGTGCAACACCGTCCCATTAGAACCCAACTGTGAAGTTGTGTATCACAGAGTAAAGTTGAATCGATTTAGGTGTGTGCAAATAAACTTGCGAGGAAAGCTTTCTAGACTCTGGCGAGTAACTGATGCATGTTTATAAGATTATAATTTGAACGAAAGTGAATTGATAATTCTGACATAATGGTCTCACACATACATGCCTTAAATGTCAGCAGTCCGGAGTTTAGAACCCGGACAGGACGATGGATATGTCTTAATGATGAGCTTTATCTGGAGTGAAACTTGTGTATCGCTGTGCCTCACGAGAATACGACTGTCCGGTTGAACCCAAGATGGAACTCGGTGATGAAGATCGAAGGAGATTATCGGTCACGATCGAAGTCCGGTACAAACAGCAAAAAGGGACGAATAAGTAGGGCTTTAGATTGACAAATTGTCGTGCAATAGGTTTCTGGGAGACTGCTCCCGGAATGTCCAATTGAATATACGAATAAAAATTCGGCATCAATGGATATTTAGGCGTTTGTCTCAAAGCGTCAGGGAGCACCACCCACGACAGTTAAGTCCAGGAAAAACCAGCCGTATCTCAAGCGCGATCGTGGGGCATCTCGTCGACACCGGGCACAAGGTCGAACCGGAGAGAACTTTCGATGTTGATTATCGCACCCGCTCAGTCGATCGAGGGCGGCTATGGCCGAGGCTATCGCCATTAGCTTACTAGGCCTTAACCTGTGAGCCCAAAAAAGACTGGTGCAGGTGCTCCAATTGCCTTGGCCGGGTGTGAAAACCATGACAGACCATGACGTGTCACTTGACCCAAGTGGGGAAAGGTCGTATCAACTCATTCTTACACGCACACACACACACATCCTCTACTCTCATCCTCCAACCTTAAATTGAGCCAATGGCTATAATTATGTAAGAATTTTCCCACTATATGATATGTAAGAGCATGACTAGGAATATCCGAAAACAATTGTTCGCTCACCAACTCATAGATATTTATAGCATTATGACGACAGAACTCTCCTTGGTGCATTCATTCGTAAATAGCCTGTGATGAATTTTCCCTTAAATAGTTCATCGGGACATTCACATACCATATCATATCTGTCAATTTTCCGAAAACCAAATGAAGGACTTAAACCGATTTCTGTGAATTTGCATTTAACTCATAGTTACATGTACGTAGTAATGTGGGATCACTGATATTGATTTGAGGCTTTTGGTTGGAGTAAACAGGTAGTTAACTGTGTCTACTTTCGTTTCTGTCGGGCCAAAACAGATCATCACTGAAGATGCTACCTGTACAACTACACGCATTTCATGTGATAGGTCCGGAGTTCAGACCCCGGACTGGACGGTGGATACGCACTACTGATTAGCTATAATAAAAGCGAAACTCGAATATAGTCCTTCGGAATGTATGGTTGACTGGAGGAACTGAGGATAGTACGTGAAGTTGAAGTCCGAAGTATAGCCAGTTCAAATTCTGTGAATCTAAATGCCCATTATTCGCATTGCCAATTCACTCTGTTCTACAGGCCGATTTTCTTTAATTTTACTTTCATTTTATTGAATACATAATGATACAACTTTCAGGAATGTAAAAGCGGGCAATCCAAAGGCGGCCATAGAACAAATCATGGGGAAAAACAGGTGTTGATGAGATTCCAACACACCTGGTGACGTTACCATCGGGCCA